CCTATCACGTGTTTGCTTATATAACGGCCGCCCGAAAGCCTACACAACTACTCATTATAATTAGGACCAAACTCCAGTCTTCGTCATTTTGGACCCAGTTTCGATATGAGTGAGGTCCACGATAATATTCTTAATTATGTACTTGCCCTAAAGCTATTATCCTCACTAGTAATTCTTGTGATGTCCCGAAAAAAAGTTTGCTGACAATTCATGCAGTTAACACGTGAACGGGGCAAATGGATACGGCGGTAGGTAGAGCCTATTGCTACGAGTGTAGCGCATGGTCCTACGAAATGGTGAAGTCGATTTGATGTGTGATGGACCCAGACATCGCTTCCCACTTATCTGACCAAGATTACTCCGAAACACCGATATAAAATATGTTACAAGTCTTCATTGGGATTTTTAGAGGTTCAGGTGTGTATTTCGCTGAGCATTATTCTCACAGCCAGATAATATTATACATTGCCTTGTCGCTGATCCCCTAGCTACAATGAAATTTCCTGAAATAAAAGAATTACGGTACGCACTTAATTTAAGTTCGCACACAATTTCCTAATAACCACGCATCACTTCGCTAACGTAAGGCTACCTAGAGTAATGGCGAATTTCTGGTAAACCTGATCTAGTCTAAGCTATATGCAGGCATTACAAAATAAATACCTTGAATGAGATGTTTCTAAGCTCTCTTTATTACTAACTAGAGGAGTAATTGTGTAGGTACCTCATCATGTTTCTCGATAACACACATGTGTATCATTTTCCCATCTCTGTAGTAGAAAGGATGTCCGGAAACCGGTTCGACAACAGACACCAGACAGGTTGGATAGTTCCCTTTGACTCTGAAAAGTTTCTTAGCAGGCCTATTTTTTGCACTTTATATTTTTATTATCTTGTAACTGAAGGAAGATCTAGGTTACGGCCAGTGGAGTTTGGCCCAAGAAGCCTCCGTCTATTGTTAGGTGAGAGATCCGATAATCCCTTGAAAGAAGGTAAGGTTGAAGGAAGCGAAGCGTACATATTGTGCTACTATTGCTCATGACAAAGAAACGTCTGAAGAAGTGTAGTTCCGCTTGACAAACTTAGTTCTTATTGGCCATCGCTATACTCGATTTCGGCAGTACAAAGCGGGGATGCTAATATCGGTAAAATACGTATGTTTAACACAGTGAACCCTATATAGTGTGCGGTCCGTAATTGTATGTCGGTTCAAAGAGTATCACTTGCGTCACAGATGAGCGAAGTACTCACGAACATAATCCGATTACAACACCTATTATGTGCATATGTCTGAAGTATACGACCCTGTATATAGTCAGGCTTGAATACGCCTGCATGGAATTGGGAAATAGTAGCCAAAATTTGTACTATTGTCCTTTGCTTGCCTACGCACGCTAGTTTCTAATATTTTATGCGAATTTTACACTGCTGACAAAACATGTTTGATAAAGTTTTAGCAGGATGACTTGAACGTTCCGAAGATAAATACAATATATCGCTTTAGTAGAATACGTAACTGTAATACGTAAAAAAATGTTATACAGTTAAGGGTACTTACACACGTACGACAGTGGTCGTTGTTAACAGCAAAAGGGAAGAGAAAAGTTGAGCCAATCAAACAGAGAAGTTCCAGCGTATGCTTCTCCTACTTGTCATTTCTACGTAAAAACAGTCGCTTTTCTGATTAGTTTTTTGATAAATTTTTTCGGCGTACATCTGTATGGATTTCACCCCATTTTACGGCCACCCCATTGACTGTCGCCGCATTACCATGCTCCGAATGTGATGCAACTATTCGAAGCTAGTGAAAATGCATATTCCGTTTGTTATGTAATTGCCCTGTGTTCCTGTTTGAACGAATAACGTTTTCTGTGACGTTAAGCAAAACCATTTTTCCGCTTAGCTGTCGAAAGTGTTTCGCGTCTTCTCGACTGCAACGCTTTGGTGAAGAAAGTGGCTTTAGGTAACCATCGTCCGATTTGGCGACCTTTATAGGTGTTACACTACTCGGATTGGATTGGATTCGCAGAATTGACCAGCGTTACTGGGTGTAATCCTTTGGCTACTTCAAACGAGCGTATGTCATACGCAGTAAGATTCCACCATCTATTTCAAAGCTTCGTCTGTTGTGACATGCTAGAGTTGGCCCTATGTTCTCTTTCTTACGAAGACTGTACTATTGTAATAACAGCTCACATAAAAAAAAACATATGGAAACGTGAGGCTTTTTTGCGTTAGCTGTGTGTCGGTCTTGCTGCGTGGCCAAATCTGCCAAATTATGGACGGAGACTTTTATTTCGGTTTTTCGAACGGCAGCTATTCGAACAATCGATTATATTATGGACGCCTGCGAAATCATATTTGGTTAGGTGATGTAGAACGGCCGCGGGTATAACATACGGCTGACGCATTACCATTTGCGATGCTTGTGCATGTGCGGAAGAGGTAAATACTGACTAGGGAACCTATCCGGTACACATGGTATTCGTTCGCGTTGCCATGCAGCGCTTTCAATGCGACTGCTATCTGTGTATTATAAAAGTTCCTGGGTACGGAACCTCTTGTCGAAAAGGTCAAACTAGTCCATTATTATGTGACATATGCGATACAAGCAAACAGGTTTTGTGTGTATAGCTGAAAATATATGATGGCTTCTATTTGTTGGGGGCTTCAATGTTGTCTTTGGTTCGTTTAAATGATAAGTGCTTGGAGTTTACGTCCGGCCCTAAGGGCTTTTCCGTCGTGCAACACTCGTGTAGTTCCGCTATTGAAGCGTTTGCAGACGTTAGCAGAAGCTACCAAGGTGGCAGTCAGCAAATTGTTATAATATATTAATAATTTGATCTTGTCCTAAGTCAGAATAAAAAACAGAAAAATTATTATGCATTAATTCAAATGGCATACGGCTGTTTTACTTTGTCCATACCGCTGTCATTTTTCCTCTAAGTGTTAAATACGACTTGCTTTGACAAGATAATCGACGAGACAAGTATCTAAAATATTTTAGTAAGGGTAATCCATTAGCGAAAATTCATCAAACGTGACACGTGTCAACTGGCCGTGGTTCGTTCCTATTTGTACACGTTATTACTACTCATAATCATTCGTAGATATGAGACTGTACCCATGAGACTCTTTGATCGAAGGGCTGCACGGAGCTAGGATTGGTCGTGGCCGGATTAGTACGGCCGATGTCGTTGCAACATACACATTTTTGCGCCGGAAGAGCAACAATGATAGGATATAATATTTGGACACGCCGATCAGGTCCTGCAAGCTAATAGTTAAACTAAGGCCGATATGCATTTAACGTAAATCTCAGAGTCGCTCTCGTATGAAGCTATATCCATAAAGGCTGCTTTACTTACCACTCAATATTGGTTCTTGGTCTGCTGTTTTCGATCACAAACACGCGTAACTAAATACACAACCGATAGCATAATGACCTAATACCATTGGCAGAAAACTAACTCAGGGCATATTTGAGTATTATAATATTTCTCTGATCATGCATGTAGTGAAGCAGCGGGATTCGGATCAGTCACTTCTAATATCAGAGTGCTGAATATATTAATCTGTTAATTAATTTTAGTGTAATATAGCTTGTAAGACAGTTATGGTCGAACGAATAAATAGCACAATATCGATGTTACGAGGTGCGTTCATTTTGAGTAGGTCTTCTCTGTTAAATCGCTCGCATATTGTGTATTGGTTGGATAAGGCCCCCATGCGCTCTACCTAAGCAAGCTTCTTTGCTTGGTGGTGCAATTATTAAGGACACGCGGTGCAATGACCGATTTAGTCGAAAATACACAGAATTCCCTCGTAACCTCAGAGACACACTGTGGTCTGGGTTTTTGGTCTCGCACTGGGGGGCCAACCGTCCGATGGAATGCGTAACGGCAATACAGGTGTAAAATTTCAAAGACGGGACTTCCCACGCAAGCATACTATCTTAAACTGCAATCGACCGTAAATGTAGCGCGAGTGCCCGGCCACTTCGTACGACCAATTTCTTGAACTCCATAATACCGCCCTTGAAAAATAATTTTGCTTTTTACGTTTTGGTTTATGGCCGTCGTGTATAGTGCCCACCGTCGATGAAACAATCAGAAGCTTGCAAACCAAGTGCTACTTAGATTGTAAACGCATGCGGCTTTCGTCTACAGTATATAAACATTTGTCTCTACAGGTCCCAGCCTTATAATGATATAAGTATATTCTGTTTTTAGCTATTCTAAACGTTAAGCCAAATTATAAATACTTAGTGGAGATGGTGAGTGGCCAAACAACAGTGAACATTAAATTTAATATCTATGTATCACTATTTCACAATATTTGCAATATCTTACTTTGGTGAGGAGCCAGGAAAAAAGTGGCAAATTGACGTTTCAAGTAGGAAATACACGTTTCAACGAATTGATGAAAAACACTCGTTTCGTTTAAAAAAACCCTTAAACGGCACCTTTGAAGAGCGTTATTGTTGACACTAATTTGTTCCTCTTACGTGGCTGCATGAGCGTGCTTATCTTTGCATTTCTACTTTGTACTGCGTGAAAAGACGGACAAAAGCAGATAGGACAAACAGGCGCAGCGCAAAGCAGTTGCCATCCGCTGTTCACAGACATTATGCGGAAATCACGTCTATAGGCTGTTCGATTTACATTATGTACGTATTACAGTGAGGTAGATAGAATAGTTTGCTTGTAAGAAAAACGTTCTTCAATAGCAGTGGCCGAATTAATAACATGTAAGCCGAGGCCGGCAATTGCCAGCGAAACAAATCAGAGCCTACAAATCGAATGAAAAGTTTTTGTTTATCCTCAACGAACTGTATAGAACCATGCGGCCAGGATTTGGGGAGCATAGCTACAGTAATTGTTAAAATGCGCTCGGCAGCTGATCTAGCCATCTAAATTACTAGTAGGTTTATTAGGTTCACTTTATTTAAAATGCAGCAGATAAGGATATTTAATATCCTTATCTGCAGCATGTTTGCTACTATATAACACGGTTAGTCATTACAGGTTTAAGCGCATAGTTCTGTGAAACGATGAGTAAACGACAAATAGCCTAGCTAGGTACTGATGTTTGCAGGTTTCTATGGTGATAAACCGTCTAATATCAAGCAATACGTATTAGATTGGTATTAGGTCGTATTAACGGCGAATCGGAGCTGTTCTTGGTTAAATCGTGTGCCCAAGTACAGAACCTAATCGAGGACACGCCGTTAACGCTAGGATTTACCACACGGAACCGGAAGCGTTTCTTCTTATATGCTCTTCATAATAGCTAAACACTTCCTATGACAAACACACGAAGCTAGCTACAGATTAGTCTTGCTTCGTCCAACGTACAGTCAGCCCTGGCATCAGAGCGCAAGAGAAATCAAGGGGCAACATTCGCCGGCACAACCTCACCCCCCTTCCCAGTGGTGGTACGACACTTGTTGCTGGGATATCTGCAGCGGCCGTCGATGAATTCTGCTTATAAAACTCATGCTCATGAGATCATTGCGCCGTTTAAGGGTGCGATAATTGCTTTCGGGCTCACTGCAATGGCAGCCGGATACCGTGAAGAACTGCATACAAACATGGAAGAATTCTAAATATAACGTTGCGCTTGCCACTGTTGTAGACTGTTTCAGTACTTTCGTTTTAATTTATTGAACTTTTATGTTATATAGCTGTCATGTGTTTGAAGTCGAATGACCTGTCCAGCTTGTCACTATTGTATTTATTGGTGGACCTTTTTACCATTGTACCATCACCATGTACTCTTGCATTATAGAGTATTGAGCGTCATGTGTGAGTTATACGAAACTTTCCATAGTAACGTGGAAATCGTTATTCGACATTATGTCGCATGAAATGTCAGGGCATCGGTAACGCTTCTGAGACACATGTGCACGTATTTGGTCTGTCTAGGAAAAGTAACATTAACGAACATTCTTGACATCGTTACACGAAATTCATTAACGAGTCTGAGTCTTCGGTAATTTTGACTGTATTATATATAGTAGTACGTGTAGTAGTTTCATAAATATGTTGTAAAATTTCGTTTAGCACCGGATCTTACTCATTCGTTTTCTACTTTACTTCATGGCCCCGTCGTTCCACAACAACAGCGTCTGTCTCCTGTTCATTGGCTACCCGTCGATCCTAGGCCCGAACAAGTTTTCCAAGAAGAACTGTTTCTTTTCCTAACCGGCATCCTTGAACTGCCTATAGGATCTATCAGACAAGCACTCGCTACACATTTTAAGAACATTCATGGCAAGTATTCTGAAGTCAGGTCGCGGCCCACACTTTTGCCCTCCGTGTACCGTAAAGCGGACCATATTGCCCAAGCTGTCAAGCTAAGAGCAATGATTAGAAGTAGGACGAACATGTTCACCGATTTTGAGCAGGTAGTAAGAGATTATTCCAGGAACTCTGGTTTTAAAGCGATTTTGATCTCGGCACGTTCTCAAAATTTTCGTGACTTTCGAGCTCAGGACCTTCATCGAAAACTGTGGCCTTCGACAGTTGTCGTCTGTCTGTGAAATATTTGTACGCTGGTCCGCCCAAAAGGATATTACTCGTTGTTTGGATGAGGATATCGAAGTGGTCTATAACGAATGGTTCGCATCGGGGCAATGGAAATTTAACAAACAAGGTTCAGGCCGACCTAATTAACATGCTAGAGCACCTACCCAAAGGAGCGATTTCATATCGTACAAGTGAATGCGTACGAGAAGCTGAAGGCCATGTGCATAGACAACATTTGCTAATTGAAATCTGCCGCAAAACAAATAACGTTGTTTATGGATAAAACTGTTTGGCCACCTATTAACCACTGATTTAAATGATCGGGGCAAACAAACATCACAGAGAATTCGTGTACGAATTTTCTGTTCAAATAGGTTGTCGGAGTCGACTAGGCCGTTTAAAAAGGGCATGCAGCGATATTAACTAAGAGTGCAACTGACCATGTATCGAAGGGCACGGACCGTTTTGAATATACTACCATTATGGTACAACACGAAAATAACCGCGTCTAGCAGCTACTAAGAGAAGCGTGTTGAAAATTTATATATGCCCGCAGAATCGCGTGTCTTTATTTTCATACGCATGCTGCATGTTACCTGATCAGGACTGATTCGGACGGTGGTTAAGGTTCTTGGAAGCGCAGCACATGCCCTTGCTGCGCATGTCTAGTAATTACTTGGTCGATTACGTCGGGCAGCTTTCGTCTAGAGGTCATATCTGCTGCACAATCTGAGTCACGTGAACTGAAACGCCAATCAAACGGAATCAGTATTATAAAGCATCAGAAACGCGCTCCCAAAATTCAGCACGATCCAATCGAGTCGTACAAAAAAACTATTTCATATTAAATCTTTCATAAATAAAACATGGCGCTCGATTCCGCGCAGCGTTTTATATGTCTATGCAATTTTTACACCATTTCTAGTGTAAACTCTCGAGCTGACTTGAGCTTTGTTGCGCCATACGCGTAAGAAACGTACGCGTATGCTAACTAGTTACACGGTATTAAATCGTCTGTATGAACTGACATCTTATCAAACAAGGGCTTTACAAGTTTCGCCTAATTTCAAATCATAACTATTATTATTCGCTCCCATGATTTAGAAAGTCTTGCCTTCCTAGGTTCATTGTGAGACTTCGAAAGTCTCACTATATTCGGTTTTATTTATCATTATTGCTTCTTTAGTTTAGGCACTGAAGCCCACCCCAGTACATGCAGAGGGCAGCAATATAGGTCATGATTCAAGGTTCCTACAATAACTGTCTTCAGAAAATGGAGCAACTACCCGTTTGGTAGCCCCCGTAGATACGGGAGCGATTAAAATCAGAGAAACAACTATCGATTTCGACCATAAGTCAATAGAAAATACGTGTGTAAGTGACTTGTTTGATCTAAGTGCGTACATAAATTTTAAAATACATTTTTGAGAAGTTTCCTTTGCGGCACCACTAATAGCAAGCTTTAACATGTGTCTGGAACTTTTCCTGAACAAATAGAATCCAAGCCGCTGCCTTCAGCAGAGTCGTCCAATACCGACAACCCTAGTCCGAATTACTGCTAGAACTGCTTTCCATTTCGCGTTTAAAGTTGACTTCGCCGTGAAACGCCGACGCTTAAACATAGGCCTCCTGTCTTGGCTAGGTCCACGGTTAGCGTTAGCGAGAAGAATGTTCCTTACACAGATACGTCGTGCAGAGAGACCACAGTAGGACAGCTACGTTTCTTCCCGACGCGAGCTCTTCGTGCTGTTTTTGCGCATCTGCCCAGTAAAGCTTCCACAAACTCCGTCCGCAGAAGTGCTGCTTTAGACATTGTTTGAGTATGCTTAGGCAACGGTCAAAATCAGCGCCAAGTTAAGCCTGCTTGTCAATCATACCTGGCCTTGCAGGCGACGCCAAATGAAAGCGGCCAAAAACGTCCCGAGCTCCCTTATTCGCGGTAGTTTTCACATGCTGACTTTGAGCTTTGGCTTTTATCTTGTGAATTTGAATCTTAAATAATGTCTCTATATGTCTGAATATCAGGTGACAAACTATGTAAATGTAGTCTGCACAAAGGTTCGCTATAGAAAATGGAAAAAAAAATATTGATACACATAAATTAGAGTTGTCGTTTTACTCGACCCACAATCCCTTTTTATAGTCCTACTCATTAACCAGACAAATAAATATGCGCCTTACAAATTATCTCGCTTCAGTTACTTATAGTATTATCGTTGAAACTTTTTGGCCTTATAACGCCGCTTTTCCATAACTATTGTAGCATTCAGCGTTAGCCGTAGATACTGATAATTGTTAACTATGTTATACAAAGTACGAAACCGTTTTGTTACCTTCTACATTGCAAATTTGCAGATAAGCGCGATAATTTAAGCTACAATACGAAATGAAATATACTCTTGTGTGGACTCGGGGCATTATTTAAAGCAATGCTTTTTTTTAAATTTGAAGCAAAAATTTTGCTACTAAGCACAGCGTTTGAAGTGGCTGTTAGCTTAGGATTTCAAAGGTTACCACCACATGGTCGTGTTGAAGCGGTGAAATCCGAACAAGTTAATTACGTTACGCCTTAAACATTTTACGTAAACGTCTATACAATAATGAGATAGGTTATTCGTCAACTTCAGAGCAATTGTTTGCGTCCTGTACACTTTAAAAAACTTCGGCATTTAATTTATCTTCGATCGAAACGAAGGATGAAGCGTAATTTGCCAATGTTTGCTTAGAGAATAACAAGTCGAAGGAATCGAGGTGCAGACGAGCTTAAAAAGGAAACGTATTTCACGTATTAGTGTTGTTGTCAAAGGTGTCAACAAAATGTTCTCTAAATCCGTTTGTTCGATTGGGAAAACTATCGGCCACCAGTCCAATTTTCTCATTCTTACTATCTACCTCTACGCTGCGAACTGTCTGACAAATGAATTGACGTACAAAAATTGACCCTATTTGATATTTAAAGCACCTTCAAAAAACTATCAAAAAAAAAATAAGGACCAATAAACGTATCACCAATGTTATATAAAAGTTTGTAACCAATAGATGCCATGTGAATCTGAATCGTGTAGATGAATGTGTGATTTCTCAATGTTTGATTGTATATAAAGACGCAATTCTACTATATTCGTACTAGCTAACTCTAGCAACTTTCCACTAATTAACAAGATAACTTTCTATCAAATAGATAATTAGCTCTTAACATAATCTAATAGTTTTACTAACAGGTCACGGGATGCTATGATGACAGATATTGTATCGCCTCTGTGTATAACTTGGAACGTGTTTTAAGGTGAACGGCATGATACACGCTTCTTCCAGCGGGTGGCAACCCAGGAATATGCAGTAACTATCTACTCAATCCATACAAGTAGTAGTAGTAACGAAATTTCAAAGCACCCAAAGGATTTCTTCAAGACATGAATAGTAAAAATCGTAATCTGCTTTTCTCAAATTTAACTCAACCTACCTCTCTGTTCGTTCCAACTTTTTCGCTTGCGGCCTATCGGTGTACCTTTTAGAAGGTTGCAAAATGCATTAGGGCACCCCGAATGCATAAATGCGTACATTGTACGTTGCCAAGATAAACTTTGCAGTCGTTCCTCTTAGCATGCCGAGTGCATCAACAAAAGCTGGCTATCTATGGACAGTTAGCAACGTACGCTGCTAAGGAAATGGATTTTTATCTGTCGGAAAATCTGTTCCACAGAGAACAAAGAACCTCTTACAGACATCGAAACTCTCCCTGCAGTACGCGCACTTCGTGAGCACTTCGGTCAGCATTATAACCCTCTTTCGACTATTTACGTAGGTTCTACCAATATCGGCTAGAAAAGCCGCGGGGCGAAGGCTGCTGTGGGAACTTTTGAATTATTTAGATACGAGACTTTACATGAAACTCTGGCTTTGCTATGGGACGATAGTGAAAAAAGTAGAGTTAATATTTTTATTCTACCTTGCGTATCAACAAGCCTCAAGCAGAACCAACAGCAGTAGTAACATTGTCTGTGAACACATCTGTGATTTGATTGACTGACGAGTTAATGACTCAGGCGCTCAGCCACACTCTTCCAGATAAACGCTGGTAAATACTGCAGGCGATATAACTGAATAGGACAGGGTTCTTTAGAGAGGCTTCTAATCTTCGGCGAACTTGCGTGCTGTTCAAAGGATTCTCTATTCCGTCTAGCACTAACTTTAGGTCAGCCGGCGTCCATGCTTTTGTTGTCCTCTACCGCTAAAACGCGGCCGAGTTCAAGAGCCAAGCCCATTCCCTGGGCGTCTGGTTGAAGTCGCTTCGTGCCTTCCTAGGTCTATAAAGGATTAATCCACAGCGTACACACGAAGTAGCGGCCGGATCTGCGGCGGGGAGACCTACGATCGCTCGAAACATTTAAACAGAACACAGCGTTTATGGACAAGAAAGTGAATAGCCATTAGCAGTTATTATGTACAGTCGGGCACGGTAATGAACGTTAATATCAGATCTCATCTAGGCTGTGATAAAAAATGACAGGAAACCTTAGAACTAGGACCTGAAATGGTAATAATGTTTTTATTCTATGAAATCTAACGTATATTGACCTAACGATTCACGGATTGTTTAAGCGTTGCTTTTGAAATAACTGGAATAGAGAGTGGCTTTGAGGTTGAGTTAAGTGAATGTCCGTATTTTAATAAAGCGTCGCGTAAGATTTCAATGCCATCGAAAGGAACTTACTCTATGAACGTGTCTGCGAAGAACCAACTGTAAATTATGCACAATACTAGTAAAACAGCTTTTCAACTAATAATTTTACTTGTCGAATAGTTCACTTTTGCTTGTGATAATAAGTAACGGTAATAATAAAAAAGCATTACGGTCGTGAGAACTTTTCAGTCTCCAAATAGATCCTGCCGTGTCCATCCAACTTGCTTGTTTTTCAACACTCGGTACTATCAGCTGCCACCTATTCCGCTGTTATAATTTCTACACTTGACTTTATCATTGATAACTTCCTTGTACTTACTCTTTTTTCTTAGCTAGTTCACAAATGCATTCAAACAATTTAATGTATAATGATAACCTTTTCTGTGCACTAATAGTAGCGGTTTTCAGCGACGCCTAACAGAACGCCACCAGTTCAAAAGATTCTCTACTTCGACATCAACTTCGCGTTTCTAGTCATCATGCGGCAGGCTCAAGATGACCTCGACGTACATGTCCTGCCCTCGAGGCAATCTACATATAAATATATATCTGTGTGAAAACACCGAGCGGTAAGTGGGGTGATGCTCGAGTAATGTAAGTACTGTTGAAATCAGTGAAAGCGATTTCGCGCTAGGCAAACCTTAAACCGCCTTTGTTTAAATTTGAAGATTGTGGAATTGTCGTCGTTGCTTTTTCGTTTTTTCAGGGTAGATTTGCTAGTATGCTTAAAATCTTCCCATGCTGGGCTTAGGATTGCAAATACGTTTAACAAAAGTATATTTTCTACTTACTATCTACACACATGTATGTATTGATCAAATCAGTGTCTCAATTTTAGATGATTTATTGCTAACGGGGTTTATTCACGAGCTTGCCACTAATTTGCTAGGTTTTTCTGGTGAATGCTACAGCTTATTGGGTTAGCTTTATAATAACCTATTTTCGAGTGCTAAATAAGTCGAACGTGTCCTGCGCATGTTTCCATCGTCAAAGATTTGGGCACCCATAAACGGTAGATTTTAACATCTTGACAAAAGCGAAATTCTTGATTATATGCCT